AATCACGTCAACTGTCCTAAACTAAAATTGAATAATAAAACCCTAGAGTGATCACTTCGGGATTACAAAGTGGCCCCTGAAGAGGTCACTTTATTGCTCATGGCTTCAAGAGCTCCTATCAAATGTCTCAAAGTGAAATAGATTAATAAAACTCTAGAGTGGTCACTTGGAGACTATAAAATTGTCTCTTAAGAGGCAAATGTGTTGTCCTGGGCTTCTAAAAATCACGTCAACTGTCCTAAACTAAAATTGAATAATAAAACACTAGAGCGGCCCCTTGGAGACTATGAAGTGGTCCCTGAAGAGGTCACTTTATTGCCCTTGGCTTCAAGAGCTCCTATCAAATGTCTCAAAGTAAAATAGATTAATAAAACCCTAGAGTGAACAATTGGGGTTATAAAGTTGCCCCTTAAGAGGCCAATTTGTAGTCCTTGGCTTCTAGAACCCCATCGATTGTCTCAAGTAAAGATAGATTAATAAAACTCTAGAGTGACCCCTTGGAGATTTTAAAGTTGTCCCTTAGGTTGCCAATTTGTTGTCCTGGGCTTCTAAAAATCACGTCAACTGTCCTAAACTAAAATTGAATAATAAAACCCTAGAGTGATCACTTGGGGATTACAAAGTGGCCCCTGAAGAGGTCACTTTATTGCTCTTGGCTTCAAGAGCTCCTATCAAATGTCTCAAAGTGAAATAGATTAATAAAACTCTAGAGTGGTCACTTGGAGACTATAAAATTGTCTCTTAAGAGGCAAATGTGTTGTCCTGGGCTTCTAGAAATCACGTCAACTGCCTCAAATTCGAATAGAAAAAATAAAACCCTAAAGTGATCGCTTGGAGATACAAAGGTGGTTTTAGAGTAACCTGTTTCGGCCTCTTGAGTGGCCACTCTTTCAAAAACTCCTAAAGAGCTCACTTAATCGTGCCGTGATGACCGTCCCTTGAGAGGTACCCGACGACGGCCAATTCGATCAAACTTGCAAAAATAAAGGCCATCGAACTGAGAATCCAAACGTCGATGGCTGAAAATTTTATTTGTTTTTTATCGCTCAAACCTGTTTCATATAAAGTGTATAATAAATATAAATTTTTCCTTTGCATTCGTGGTCCCAAGGTTTTTTTCTGATGCTATTCTAATAGAAGTTCATAAACCTGTTCAATATTCAATTTCGTAACGTTTCCTACACAAAATAAGGGGTTTACTCGATTTATAACATAAAAAAAACCCCAGTTTTTCAAATAAAATGCTCGGTGAAACCAATTTTTCTTTTCGAAGCACAAAAGATATCAGTAAAAAAACACAAAAATGCTCTTTTCCACCAAAAAGTTGAAGGCAATTTTCAACTTTTCAATATCTTGTTCTAAGCTATATTTTACATTTTCTGAGTGAAGTACATTGAAACCCTGCAGTGCCACAAAAAAAGAAAAAATTTGAAGAATGGAAATTTTGCGCGTCATGAAAAATAAAGGGTGCGACATTGCGTCATTCTACTGTGAAAAGTGTGTTTTTTATCGCGAGAAATAAGTGTCTACCCCCTTAATGTTTTATTTACTTGTTTTTGTATAATTATTTGGAACTTTTTTGTAATTCATAAATAACGGATTCATAAACTTAATTTTTTTGAGACTATTTGAACATGGAAAAAAACATGAAAAAAATATTTTCTTGGTAATTTTTCTTGATTTTTGTCATAATTATAATCGATTTTTTTCAAGTTTCTTTGGTTAAAAAAATAACGAAAGTTCTATCAAACATTTTTTTAGAAGACTTACTCTATGCTACCTAACACATAACCGATTTTTTTAAAAAAAGTGAAAAAAAAAACAAAAACGAGTGAAAAAACCTTGAAATTTTGGCAAAAGTACTATTTGTGGTTCGCCGAAGCTCGGATCAAACTCAATTTTTTTCAATAAACTAAAGTCGTTCGTCGTTTTTTCTTATTGATCTGATTTTGGAAAAAATTGGAACAGAGATAATAGTTTCTAGAATTTTTTCAGTGTCCCTAAGCACCTCATAAACAAGGTCTTTTTAATATTCAGTTGGAAATCTTCAAAAAAATGGCTATAGAGCTCTTTGACGTACGAGAAGGACATTATGAAAGTCTCAATAATCACGAATACCTATTTTTTGAAAAAAGTCACCTCAAATCCATAAAAAATCCTAAAAGTCCGTGGATATTGCCTAATTTCGGGCTGGGACCTTTCGAAAACTAGAAATTTTTGCAGGTTGAGACTTTCAGGATTTTTTTAATGGTTTATCATGACTGTTCTGGCCAACTTTAAAGAAAAAAAAATGATGACCTCCCTTAAAAAAAATAGTCACGAGTACGTGAAGAAGTAAGTTTCAAATAAGTTATATAAAAAAAGTTTCTTTTCTTTTTTAATATACACTGTCGCACGTTTGAAGTGAATTTAACACACGTTCTCTGAGAAAATCGATGACTTTTCAGTTATAAAAAGCAAAAAAAAATAAACTTTTTTTTTGAATCGCTTCAAAAATGTGATCACGGCTCACACACGTGCTTCTGATTATTTAGCACCAAGTTCCAGATGGCTCCGCCCCTTTTAAAAGATACTGTAGACAGTAAGCTGAAAAAAATTAATTTTTTTCCTGTTGAGAATTTTCATTCAAAAACATTTGGAAATGTAAGAAAACACTATTTTGAGTATTTTTTCAGTTGCAACTTTTTTTCTATCTCGGCTTCTTCGGGGAGAAAAAAAAATTGAAATTTCCTCAAAAACAGCGATTTTTTCAGTTTTTGAGCTATAACTAGAGTAAGAATAAGGTTTTTTTTTTTCTTGAAAAAGTTGATAAAAAAGCTCTTTTCGCCATTTCTTAACCCCGATTTCATTTGCTTAGGTTTTTAAAAAAAATTGAAACATTTGCTGGGTTTCCCTAAAATCTTTTTGAACGGGTTTCCAGGTTACTTCAGCAATTTAGAGCAGGTAAAAACGGTGAAAACGAAGATAAGCGTGCCAAGCCTCAAATTTGAATAAAACTACTTATTTCTTGCCGAAAAAGACTCCGACTCGTGTCGAAAAGAGATGTAGGTCTCACTGAAAAAGCTTTCTGTTAGAACGGAAACAAAAAAAGTTGTTTTCCGAGCCTTTGTGAAAATTCCATTTTTGGGGTCGTCACCTTCAGGCGGTCGGAGGTCAACTGGGCCACCCCAGAGATTTTTACCGGACTAATTTTTCCTTATCCAGAAAGACCTACTCTTCCATATACCAAAAGATAATGACCACATTCGGGGGTTCCTACAGAACAAAACTACCTGAAAACGGAAAAAATCGAAAATCGACGAAGTCCTAAAATTCGAAAAGTCTCGAGGAATTCGGAATAAATTTTCTTTGAGCACCAAAATGGTGGAGAACATGAACGTGAGTGTTGTCTTTTGTTTCAAAACAAAAAATAGGAAGAAGCCGTCAGAATAAAAGAAAAATGATTTTTTGAATTTTGAGCCGATTCGAGTTGATCACCTTCGGTCGAATGGAGGTCAACTATCCCACCCCAGGGATTTGTTGTAGAACTACTTTTTCTTGAAGAAGAAGGCCCCTAGTTTCATAATCAGAAATAAAAGTCGTACCATAGGGGGGTTCTTACTCTAGTTATGGCTCAAAAACTGAAAAAATCGCTGTTTTTGAGGAAATTTCGATTTTTTTCTCCCCGAAGAAGTCGAGTTAGAAAAAAAGTTACAACTGAAAAAATACTCAAAATAGTGTTTTCTTACATTTCCAAATGTTTTTTTGAATGAAAAATTCTCAACAGGAAAAAAATTAATTTTTTTTCAGCTTACTGTCTACAGTATCTTTGAAAAGGGGCGGAGCCACCTGGAACCTGGTGCTAAATAATCAGAAGCACGTGTGTGAGCCGTGATCACATTTTGAAGCGAATCAAAAAAAAATTTTATTTTGTTTTGCTTTTTATAACTGAAAAGTCATCGATTTTCTCAGAGAACGTGTGTTAAATTCACTTCAAACGTGCGACAGTGTATATTAAAAAAGAAAAGAAATTTTTTTTTTATATAACTTATTTGAAACTTACTTCTTCACGTACTCGTGACTATTTTTTTTAAGGGAGGTCATCATTTTTTTTTCTTTAAAGTTGGCCAGAACAGTCATGATAAACCATTAAAAAAATCCTGAAAGTCTCAACCTGCAAAAATTTCTAGTTTTCGAAAGGTCTCAGCCCGAAATTAGCCAATATCCACGGACTTTTAGGATTTTCATCGACTTTCTCAGAGATTACGTGTTAATTCCAATAATTCGATTTCGAAGCGTATTAACGAAATATATATACTAAGGAATTTTCTCAGTATGTAAAAAAATTCAATGAAGTTTCAAACAATAGACGCTTCTAAAAACACGGAAAAAAACACGCGAATACGAAAAAGAAACCTTTAAAAAAATGCTTTTGAAGAATTTATCCATTCTATAAGCTATTTTATGAATAAATTCGAGGAAAAATGATTTCCGAGCGTTTCTTCTGAAAAATACAGCCGTTTTTTTGTATTATACTTTTTCAAAGCAAAATTTTCATTTCACTCGAATTTTTTTACTCTTCACAAGTTAAAAAAATTTTTCTCTTTTTTTCAAAATTGACAGCTCTGAAATCTCCAAACTACGAACAAATTTAATAAAAAGTCATTTCGGTACCCAAAAAATGAATAAAAACGAACCTTTAACATCACTAGTTTTAGGTAAATTGTTCACTACGGCGCCGAATTGAAATCTGAAAACTCCTGTTTTTTTTTAGAAATGCGGAATGGCTCAAAGCCTTGCGGTTTTTGAAAAACAGCGCCCGACCCAAAACGACTTACGCTTGGTGGTACTCATAACATGACACTAGAAGTTCATTTTGAGCCATTCCAAGTGCGGGCAATCTTTTCAACATTTTTATTATTTCTTCGTGAATTTTGAAGTTTTCAAGGCAAGAAAGGTTACTAGAAAACTCAAAAAACTTTTTCCAAAAATTCACAAAAAAAATGTTCTCCTCTATAAATCTACAGAACACCCCCAGGATCACACTGTAGATTTTTTTTCGCATAATCTATTTTTTTTAAAGAGAAAGCCAAAAACCAACGTCAAGGCGAGCAAAGAATTGACGCCAACGGTGGTCCGACTAGGAATTTGCTCGGCGCCAAGATAAAAAGAGACCCAAGAAATGAAAACAGAAATATAGGCGGGTACATAGACCTGAAATCCAAATAGAGCGTGTAATTCTCTTCAAAATGAAGCCTAAAAACGGCAAAAACGGAGGTGGGACTCGAACCAACGACCCTTTTATCGATAGTCTGAGGGGTTATCCGCTGCGCTAAGTGGTTCAAATATATATTCTTTTGCTTTTAGAGGAAACAGTAGCACTATAAAAGGCTCGACATTGTTTTGAACGCCATAGCTCAGCTGGTAAGTGATTAAACTCCACTCAGAAGGTCACTGGTTCGAATCCCATCCTCGCTTTTTTTTTTGCCAAAACCTTAGGTTCATTAAAGCTCTAATAATTCTCCAAATGAAACAAAAAATAAGTAGATTTAATAAGAATAAACCTGCAAAATGTAGAAACCGTAAAGTCGTTGAAAAGTGAAGGTGGCGATGAGCTCGTTGAAAATTCCCGGTGGGTAAAGCTAAAGAAAGAAAAGTGGTCGCATTTGGAATGGCTCGACGCGTCGCGGCTTTGCGACCGACCAATAACTTCTTATTATGGTCAGTCACTGATGGTCGGCCGCAACTACTAATTTCAAGCCATTCCAAATGCGGCCACAAAAACTTTGGATAAGGGTGAAGACATATACTTATCGTGTCATTACTGAAAAATGGATATTCCACCTAATTTTGGTTTCTAAAAACAGCAAAGTCATTTTTCCCCTTTCAATCAGGCGAAAATCGTTTTTTCTTTTAATTTTTCAAACCCCTTTCACATTTTTTTTAAATTCATTAAAAAACTGACCCTTAACTCGCTAGAAGCCGAAAAGCCAACTAAAACATAGTCCGGCAAAGTGATATTCCCTTTTAAAATAGTTATTGGCGGGACTGTAGTGATCCAATCCATCTCTACCTGAAAAAAACAACTAGAGAGTGCGGAAAACGAGAGGTTTCAGACATCTAGAGTGTCTGGACTCTCTCTCTCTTTTTTTATAATAGACTCTACCTGATCCGTATTATAAGTGAAACTCTCATAGAAGAGCATGCAGCGTTGTTGATCAATGGGGAAGGTTCTGAAATCGATTTTTTCCGTTTTTAATAATTTTTCCCTGTTTCAGACATAAATTTAGCTTTTAAAGGTTCCCGGAAAAGCTGTCGACAAAAAGAAAAAACTAAAAAAAAAATTTTTTTCAAGTACCAGTCCTCTATGTCCGGAAAATTTTTATCACGCCCCTTAAGTGGCTACTTCCGGCTAATATAGCGACCACTTAAGTGGCCAATTAAATTAGCTTTTCCCAAGATTTTAAGCTGGAAAATGGCTTTTTTTGACTTTTACGTAGTCCAATGTCCTTTCATGGACTCCTCTTTCAGATTAAAAATTTATTTTCGGGCAAAAACTCGCCTCAAAGTACTGGAACAAGGTCCAGTCAGCTTGATTCGATAATTCAGCCAAATACTGCCGTTGCTGAAAAAAATGAGAAAATTTGAACATATTTAATAGCAAAGATAACGTTAAAAAACATGATAAAAAATTTTTTTCTAGATTTTTTAAAAATTTCATTAAAAAATTCCAGTTCCTTCAGTTGCGACGCGGTCGCGTTGCGGCTCAAATTGTGCCAACTATCGTACTTTTAAGCTTAGAAACGATAAGAATCTTCCTTAAAATCGTTATATCATCAAAAAAAGACGGTGATATTACAAAAAATAAAAGGTAGACGCGTCGCGGTCGCGTTGCGGCTCAAGTTGATTTTTTTTAGCCATTTAAAAAAATTGCCCAAAAACCTACCTTCTGCTCATTATTTCTTTTTGAATCTCATCGGTTTTTTTGACTTTTTTTGAATGCGCCGAGGTTAAAAATCACCTGTAAATCTGCAAAAAGACGTTTTTGAACGGGCTCTCGTGGATGTTGGCCAATTTGCTGTTGACGAAACACGCGTGAGGATTCCAGATTTGTTCCAGAGTTCTTGCTCCGTCAACTGACATGTTTCTGGGATTGGAATATGAAACAGAAAGCGAGAAAATACATTATGAATGAAGCTGAAATAAGGGAAAAATGTTAAATTTTCAAATGATTTCTTTAAATTCTAGGACCTTAAATATTCGAAAAATATAATTAGAGGGGGCGGCATAGCTCAGCTGGTAAGACTCATTTCTAACGTCCGCGAGGTCGTAGTTTCGAGTCCCTCCAAGGTCGACCAAGCCTTTCATCCCTATTTGGGAGCTCAAATTGGGAGCTGCATGCAGCTGCCGTCGGCCTTTGGAAAGCCGTACTTCTTCCTACGACCTCTCTTGTACCTGATGTTCTACGAGCGAAATTCACAGCTCCTGCCGCCATTTAAAGACAGTTAAAAATAATGAAAGTCGATTTCACATGTATTCTCACATTGATGATGCAATAAACGGTTTTTTTTAAATTCATTCTTTTCATTTTTCATAATTTCTCTATGTAGGAAAAAAAAACCGTTTTTTTTAAATACATGTTCTCACCATAATGAAAAGATCACGTGTGGAGGAATACGTTTTTTTCGAAAATAATTTTGATTTATTTCTTATCCAGCCCGCTGATTCTCCCATTAAATACGTTTCAAATTAGTTAGAAAGCTAATTTCCAACACTTTCAGACAGTTAATAAAAACTCTGGATTGCCAATAATTTTTATCATTTGGAATGAATCGGCTTAAAAAAATGAGGGAATAACTAAAAAATTTGGAAAAATCGAGACTTTTTGTTTGTGATATTTTGATAAAAAACTACTTTTTTTAATAGTTTCCGATTCACAACCATTTTTTAAAAAAGTTTTAAAAATTTAGAGGTGTTAAATAAAAATCAATTGAAAGTTGAAGATAATATCAAAAACAACCTTTTATGAATACGATAAGGGTCAACTACGAGGTATACGTGCGCCTATGACACCTACGGGCTCTTTGACAGAATGGTCGAGCGGCTAACACTTTGGTCTGATAACTTTGAGACCAGGGTTCGACTCCTTTCACCTCTATCATTTTTGCCATTTTTCTAGAGCAACTTCCTACTTTTTCTCGTTAATTTTTCATGCCTCTTTTCTTTTTTTAAATTTGATCAAGACCCTACCCTTTACAAGGATTCAAATGGGCGTAAGCCAGCGCCGGGTCGGTCCACCTTTCAGTCACATAAATGTCGAGCTCGAACTCCGAGGTGATTTCTATGATTTTCGACACTTCCTGGACCCAAATCTGAACAGGAAACTGAGTTGTGTTCGTAAATGTATAAAAAAATAAGCTTCTGAAAAATTACTAAAAAAATCCGGTTTGAATCCTCTCCCTCGTTTTTTTGCGGGTGGATTTTCGGAATTTCTGGTTTTTTTAGAAATATTTGAAGAAGAAATTCTTATTTTTTTGTGGTTTTTCTATTTCTAAACTTCTAGATGGACTTTTCATGCTTTTAAAGACTGAAAAAAAGCGATTCGAATCGGGAAAATTCCAAAAATAAGGCAAGCCTCCTGATTCAAACACTTCCTGGTTCGACTCCTCTCCCCGTTTTTTTGCGGGATTTTTTTCTCGACATTTTTAAAAAAATTCAATCTTTTCATTTTTTTCATAATTTCTCTATGTAGGAAAAAAACCGTTTTTGAATATGTGTTCTCGCCATAATGAAAAAGATCACGTGTGGACTACGTTTTTTTCTTTCGAAAAATTATATTCTTTTATTTTCTTTATACAGCCCGCTGATTCTCCCATTAAATACGTTTCAAATTAGTTAGAAAGCTAATTTCAAATACTTTTTAGTCAGTCGATATAATCTTGAAGATCTTCCGATAGTTTTTTTATCATTTGGAATGAATCGGTTTGAAAATAAGGGTATAACTAAAAAAATTGGAAAAATCTAGACGTTTTTTTGTGATATCTTTGATTAGAAAAACTACTTTTTTTTAACAGTTTCCGATTTCAGAGCGAATTCGAATTTTTTTGAATAATCAAATAATTTCGGGAAAACCGACCTCAATGGACACCTGTACGTGTCCACCGCCAGGTAGGTCCAAATTGTTGTACCCGTAGAGAATGTGGTCTGAACATTACAAATATAATTAAGTAGGCCTGAATTTTGGAGGAAAAGGTTTTCATTTTTTTTCTATTTTTGGAATATTCCTAGAAACTTTTGAACCAAAAAAAAAAAAAAATCGAAAAATCCGCTTAACAACAGGATTTTTCCAGACGCGTCGCGGCTGCGTTGCGGTCGATAAAGTTTTTTTTTCATAGCCATTTTGGGAGATTCATTCTCCATTTAAAATCTATTCATATTTTTAAGAAAAAATTGAAATTTCAGAAAATTTGCTGAAAAATTCCATCATACAACCAGTATCTTCAGAAGCGTCGCGGTTCGCCAAAAATTTTGGTTTTACTCATTTTTTTCAGTTCGAAAAAAATCAACTTCCACGGAAGATTGGAAAATAATGTAAATTTTACAGTACAGCATTAAAATCCATTAAAAAAACGACACGTTTTCCAGAATTTTAACTTTTTTCTGGTTCCAACGCGACTAAATCAAAGAAAATACAATAAATTATCTGGTTAGCCAAGGTCTAATCAATCGAAATTTAAGAGGACAGTGATAAAAAATAGAGTAAAAAAAACCTAAAATCGCGTCGTCGCCCATGCATTCGGTTTCTGAAGGCGGCACGAGAGTCACGTTCCGTTTTGGCCCACATCCAAATTTACTAAAACTTATCAAATTCTTTCTAATAAAAAACGCTCAGGCGAATCTTAAGAAGGTGTTGGGAAGGTAACCAGCAAGAGGTTTGAAGGTGTAGGGAAGCTAGAAGGTCTTGGAAAAACCTTTGGAAGGTGTTCGGAAAATAGATAATAGGTATTTGGAAGGTGAAAATGGATAATGACTGCCAGAAGCCTTCCAGAAGCCTGCTGGAAAGTTTCTGGAAGGCTTCCGGCAGGCTTTTTTCTGAGTAGAAGGTGTCAGGAAGCTTTGTGGAAGGCGACCACTTTCTGGAAAGCTTCCAAACGCCTTCTGAGGAACCGAAAGAAGATCTTCCCAACTTTTACCTTAGCGAGCTTTTCTTCATTTTCCCAGTGTCTGAACTCTTTTTCTCTCTCGATGAGACGGTGGCGAGAAAAGGAGAGAGCGCAGACAGTTAGAGAGTTTCGAGTTAAAAAATTATTTCAAATCAAGTGTCCATTAATTTCATGAATTGCTCTAACCGTCTCTCTCCATCTCTTCTTCTCTCATTGACCTTAAGTTGAGAGATAAAGAGAGCGCAGGCGGTTAGAAAGTTCAAGTAACGGTAAAAAATCATTTAAAAACCCATACGAAAGGAAATCGACCTTTTTCTCACTTTTTTGAATTGCCAAGGCTTTTCAGAAGCTCTAAGACGTTTTTCAAACCATGGATCAACCGTTTAAGCCTTTGCTCTCCGCCAAAAAGGTCAAGGGTTCAACTCCCCGAGGCGACATAGCTTTTTTGCATTTTTTTCTTGAGTTTTTTTTTCTTTTTTCCTACTCTATTCTGCTCGAAATTAACTTCTGTGTTCAAAAATACCCCAAATAACTTACCATTCCCCTTCGCTTTCGATATGAATGGCCCAAACCGCCGGAAATAACAGGAGAAATCGCAACATTTCTCCTCCTTCAGGTCATTTTCAGTGTTTTTTTTTGATTTCCGACCTCGAAATATCTGCAAAAAGGGCCGATGAAAAAGAGAAAAAATCCAAAAAATAAAAGGAGACGACTGGAGCCTCCCAGGCAGGTTGTGAATAAATCAAAGCCGAAATTTCGTTCTCGCGAGAAAAAAAAATTGATTTTTTCCGGAGGATATTCGGAAGAAGAAGCGAAAGCCGTTCCCAGGGAAAATAATCGGGGAAAAAAAAATGGAAAATGTGAAAATGAGTGAATAGGTAGGAAATTCGAAAGCGAAAAATAAAAATAGGTTTTGAGAAAAATAAGCTTTTTTGAGCTAAGAAAAATTTTTCTCATGATGCTTACTACGAAAAAAATGCCATTTTTTTGGTCAAAAAAATCGGATTTTTTTCCAGCAAAAAAATCATTCAAAATCATCCCTGATCCATTAAAAAAACATGAAAGGCATTATAATCATTTCAAATATGTAAAGTAATAGAAATTTTTAATTCAGATGAAAAAAATCAAGATTTTTCACGTCAGAGCGCATTTTTCCTTGTCAATTTTAAGCTTCCCGAACTTTTCAGAGATCTAATTTTAATTTTAAACCATTCAAATCTTTGAAATGAAACTCTCAATGTTCCTTTTTTGATTTAAGTTTTGAAAATTCGGGAAAAAACTGAAAAAGACCAGAAGAAAGCTAGTAAAATCTTCTTTTTGTGCCCAAATTTTTGGGCTGGGGTCGCCGTGAAATTCAATTTTCCAGGGCAACTTACTTCTTCTTTTTTTCTCCTTTCCCAATCTTCTTTCGAAACAAATAATATGGATTCAAAGGAATTGACATTTTCAATCTTCTTACTTTTTTTGAAAAGAGATATTGTTATAAAAACTACAGAAAAGACGGATCAAATAATATTATTTTTCAATTACTAAATGAGCCTTTTGAAACATCATTTATGCAGGAATGGGACCGAAATCGGCCTAATAATGAAAAAGGAACACGTTTATTTTGTTTTGTGGCTTTTTTTGAAATCTAAAAACCAAAATAGTCTCGAAATGAGTCATAAAAATCAAGAAAAAAACTTGGAAAGTCTGGAACCTCTCGATTTCCCATGCTCTATCGCTCATAACTCATTCCTTGTTTCCACTTTTCAAAAATCACAAGAGCGTCAAAAAACTAGAGAAAGGCAAAACTAAGAGACGCAGCCGTTAAAAAGTCTATAAACTCCTCGTTTCGCATGCTCTCTCGCCTAATAAAATATTTGCTCTTTCAAATCTTTTTTCAGGTCAAATAATACTCTCCATACTCTCAAGAAACAAAAAAACGTAAAAAGAAAAAAAAATCGACAAGAAAGTTGAAAATTGAGCCTAATTAGTGAAGAAGCTGACGAAAATTGAGCCAATTCTCTCGAGAATGGCTTTGGAACAAGTATTGAAAGCAAAAAAAGTACTTATATGCAGTGGAAAAAGCCGCATTTGGAATGGCTCGACACGAAAAAAGTTGAAAGTCAAAAAAAAGAGGTAAAGAAACTAGAGAGATGCAGACAACAAAGTTTCCTTTTGTCTCTATTACTCTCCAAATTCCTCATACTCTCAACATTTTCTGACAACTAACCGTTTTTCTCAGAAGCAGGGAGAGAGTGAGAAAAACTGAGAAATTTGCAGACATTTTAAAAATGTCTAAAGTCTCCAAATTTTCCGTGCTCTATAACTGTTCATGGATCTTCCTAGAGAATGGAGGAAACCAAAGAGACGCAGACATTTATATTTTTCTCTGACGTCTAGGATTCTCCAAAAATATCCATTCTCTCTAGCCTTTTGACGAAGTCGATTTCATCGATTCTCATAATCTTTTCCTTTCAAAGCGAAAATCGGAAGAATCTTGACTTGAAGAACAGAGAAAAAGCAAATTAGAAGTAGAAAAAAACGGGAAGAAAGGAAAGATGCCAGCCGGACAACAATCGATCCTTCGCCGACGTCTGGAGCCAATTCTGACCGAGTCGCCGGCCCGAAAAGGATATATATATCCCTTAGGGATTCTTAGGCAAGAGTCAAGATTTTCTCAAGGAGGTTAGAAGTAGACGAAAAGTGGAGGAAAAGCTCAAAGGTGACTGGAAAAATGGTGGACCGCCTGTTTTTTGACTTCAATCTCCAGTTTTTGTATATTCTGTTGGGAATTTTTTCAATTTTATCAGTATTTCAGGTTGTCCAGAGTAACCAGGAACGCATATCTCTTCGGACTTCAAGAAAAAACGACTGAAACCACCAAAATTGTTCAGAAATTACCTGAAAAAGACCGATTTTTGACCTATTTTCCAGCTTTAAGTAGAGTCTACCGCTTTTTGAACCGATACCGTGGTACTTAGGGATTCTTAGACATGTTTCAAGATTTTCTCAATTAGGTTGGAGCTAACCATGAGCAAAAAATAGAGGAAAAGCTTCAAAGGTGACTGGAAAAATGGTGGACCGCCTGTTTTTTGACTTCAATCTCCAGTTTTTGTATATTCTGTTGGAAATTTTACAATTTTATCAGTATTTCAGGTTGTCCAGAGTAACTAGGAACGCATATCTTTTCATACTTCAAGAAAAAAGGTTGGAAATTACCGAAAATGCTCCGAAAAAACCTGAAAAAAAGACCGATTTT